CTTTAAACATCAGGATTTAAATTAGTACTTATTTTAAAATGATTCGTAAAAAAAGGAGTTTTACAGGTTTAACATATTATGTAACTATGTAAATATTGAAGTTAAATTCGAATCTTGGGTATATATAAATAGCTTATTTAAATAGGGAAATAGAATCAATCTCTTAACCAGTGGCGTAGCCAGCGTCTACACATAGACAGTATAGTGTACTTTGATCAAATCATAGGAAAACCTCCTCAGCAGCACAAATATATTCAATTAAATACCTGAGAACTATTATATGTATAAACAGAAAATAGAATAAAATCGTAAAATTGCTTACCTTCTTTTCCTTCGTGTACTAGTCCAACATTTGTTATTGGTATACAGGGTTCGGCGATAGTGCGTCGGGCATCTGTAGCTCCTATAATAAACAACTTAGAAATTTTGCAAAGTGCAAACCTAAAGTATGTAACGTATAGTGTATAGTAATTAATGTATAGTTTTCATTTCAGGGCATTTTTTTTCATTTTTTTTTTAATTTTCAAAGTTAAATATATCAGATATTTTCAATTTATTTTAAAAAGGGTAAATAGAAAAGATGTTTGTTTTGTCCAAATCTACCACCCCTTAAAATGCTTACACTTATTTCTGATACACTCTGTGTTTATTTCAATATCTTTCTTGCTATATCTATGCTATTTTCCCACTATTTTCCGTTGAGGGTGCATCCACACTATCCTAGAAACGGCGAACAAAAAAATAGATTTCCAATTACTGGAAATCTATCCAAGGTCTTTACGCCGTTTCTAGGATAGTATGGATACACCTTGAATTTCTATTCTATGTGGACATGAATTATTACAAATAAACTATAAACATGCGCGACGTGAACTGTCAATAGCGGAAGATGGCGGAGTTTTAACCTTAATTTATGTAAAATTTAATTTCCTGTATAATTTTTTGTTTTCGTATTTTTTTTGATATTTTAAATTAATTATTCTGCTATTCGGGGCGGAGAAGAATCCAAAATAGCAGAGATCATTAAAATCTGTCCAGTAGTCTTGAGTTATAAATGGTGAATTAAAAAGGGCCCTCCACGTAACGTTATCTGAGATCTACGACCACAGATTTGGCGGGAAGTGTACTAGACTATAGACTGACGAAATTATATTTTATAAAATCTGAACGTGTGGTTTGAGAAGATCGCTATCAAGCTGATCTTAAGATCTGAACTGTGCGATTTGGCAAGCAGATCAAATCGTTGCATGTACTTGTTGACTTTGTTATATTTATTTAAATGTTCCTTTTATTTCTCCCTCGCACGCTACGATCGCTACGCCACTGACCTTAGCCAATTATCATTATCTCATTTTAAAGTCGAGTCATTCATGACCCTATTACATTAAAATCTTGACCTCCAGATTTATCATATTAGTCTTTGTGACAAATATAAAACTTTTGTTTGAGAATTGCTTACTAATTCTGTATTAACTTTGATATTTGGTAAAATAGTACTGTATATCTTTTCTTGGAAAGACTTCTAGGTTTTTCGCCACTAGAAGAAAATATACAAAATAAAAAAAAGTTATTTTTTTTTAACACCACGGCCACCACTGCGTTGATCCAATGGAGACCAATTTTTCAGTGGTATTCTACTAATAAAACAAATATTCCTATCCGACAAAAAATGGTTCACGTTTCAGGAGGTATATGTCCTCCCGTCATCAGAAGCAAAAAAAAACAGAAAAAACAAAGAAAAACTATTCAAGAATATTATATTTTTAGCGTCTATACTATAAACCGTTGGCGTTCTGTTAAAATGACATTATATACTCTGTTTTTTTTCTCAGGTAAGATTTCGACAGACGATGACAGAAGAAAAGCAGATGACGTCCCATACCAATCTATTTATTTTACTAAAAAAAGTTTCTAATTATTTTTAAGTTATTTATGGATGGGTTTAAATATAAATCCGTCATACGTCGTGTCTTGTTGTTTTTAACCAGTTTTATTGGTTTATTTAAAAAATGACAGATCGTATTTCAATTTTATTGGTTTGACGGAACGATGAACGACAAACGGACGCCGATGCGTATGAACTCGCCTTTAGATTTTTGTCATTTTTGACGCTTCCATCTAGTTTGTCCTTGGTCTTCCCCGTTTCCTTCTCTTTTCTGGAAGCCAGTTTCGTACCTTCTGAGGCAGTCGCGTGTGGTCCATCCTTCTCACATGTCCATACTACTTCAATAACTTCAGTTTTCAGGGCATATTTCCTCTACTATAGTTTTCTGTCTACCCATTTTGTCTTTAATTGTCTCGTTTCGTACTCTATCCAGCCTTGATGTTCGTGCTGATATCCTTCTTTTGAAAATATTTTCCACTTTCTCACATTTACGATTTAACCGATTTTCGTAAATCTAAGATTTGTCAGCATTCATGGGTCATATATCAAACCAAACCAAACCAAACCTCTACAGAAATTGATTTCCTGAGCAATATATTTATATTAGTTTGGATTAAAAAAGTCTCTTTTATTTTTCATTTAAAGGCTATCGATTCTTTCATCATAATTTTTATGTTGGTAAAATCTACATAAAATTCTGTAAACTCTATCTGTGCCAAAGTTTACAGAATTAAAATTCTGTATTCTGTGTCCCATGAATGCTGACAAATCTTAGATTTACGAAAATCGGTTAAATCGTAAATGTCAGAAAGTGGAAAATATTTTCAAAAGAATGGAAATAACTTTGAAAATAACCCAACTTAAAACATTCAAATTAGACCCAAAAAAAACAGTCGAATGAAACATCTTGTACATAATAAAAAGTTAATTACAATTTCAGTTTCTGAGATTTTATTCCTTAAGCACTGTATGTTTTGATGCATGACGTAAAGTGACGTGTTCTCTGGCAATTTCGGTTCGGATTTCACTGGTTGCTATATGTAATGAGTTCTAGCTCTGATTCTTTCTTGTGCTCTTTGGTAACAAATACATTTTTTATCAAAAACATTATGTCTATAGTCCCCACATCCATTTTTATTACCTCACATGCATATCTGCATTTTGTGCATTCTTCATTTGTCGATTTGCAGTCAGTTGTTTTGTGCTGCCCGTTTCACAATGGACAAACAACATGCTGCTGACGACAGTGGACAGCTTTATGTCCATATTTCCAGCACTTATAGCAACGCATTATATTAACATATTCATATAGGGGTAAAGAATCCCAATCAATAAAAACTCTCTTACAATTTATAAAAGAGTTAAAGGCATCAGCTGAAACTTCAACATGGTGCAGTTCACAACAACATTATGCAGTTTTATTACATGCGGAAGATATTTCCTAATTATCTTAATTTGGGGATTTTCTATGGAAGAAATACAACTTTGACTCTCTATCTTCTAAAAACAGTCGCATGAAACATCTTGTACATAATAAAAAAGTAATCACAAATAAAACTAATTTGTTATGTTGTTTGATCACATGGTTTTCTAAATATATTATATTTTGGCGGTGCTACTGACCTCTTGCGCAGAGATGTTTACTTTCAAAATTGAAAGATCATCTTTTATCTATGATAACTCTAATTGTGGCCTAATCAGTGATTATTTGCAAGGACGGTCAAAAATATTGATATATCATGGCAATAAATGTTATTTCGCTCTTAGTTGTGTATAGGAATTGTTGAGGGACACTTATAGAATAAAGTATAATTTGTTATATAGGACCTTTATTAAGTAATTTGTATAGTAAATTCAATTTTTAAGAAATAAATAACACTCATAATCGTAACGTAATCATGGAGTAAGTATTATCATATATTATTCTAGTTACAAATTTTTGAGTTAAAATTATATTTGAATGGAGATCTTCAAGTGCGAGTTCCAAGTTATAATTATTATAGAAATCAAGATGTCTAATATTGATACGATTACTATAGGCTTGGTGCATTCTCCGTCGGTGCTGCCACTATCGGAGAATATCGTAAACAACTAGTATATACAAATACACGGGTTTAAAGTTTAAATGGCACGTACCTATACGAAAAATGTATTATTTAATTATCCTAAAAGTGTTACAGCGCTTTTAGATGAAGCGGAGCGTCCGCAACGGAGCGTCCGCGACTTCGAGCAAGTACCATGAGTTTTTATATGAACAATTTCACATAGACGCGTATGCTCCGTCCGACGGCTATCTTGAAAAAACACGACGGACGGTCCGCTCCATCTGAAAGCGCTGTTGAAAGTATAATTTGTGTGTAACATTCTAAAAACAAAAAAAGTAAATATTTTAATATCTTCGAAAGGTCTAACTTGTATTATAATTTATTATTCTAGTTAAAAAAAATTTTTAGATGAGTTCAACTACGGAAACGAGCATAGTTTTAATCACCGGTTTTGCTAGTGGGGCATAATTGGGGCTATTTCGGCTATAACGAAATTTTTTTATTATGTAACGAGCACTTTGTTTCCGCACTTGTTTCGTCGAACTGCTTGAATCCATTTTTGCTATTGATCAAATCGGTGTAAGAAATTATGAAGCTATAAAATGTTGTTTCGGGAGAGTTGAAGATCCGGGAAAGTTGAGTTATTGAATGTTATTGCACCCAACAACGCTCTAATTACGCTCTCCTTTACACGTTAACATTTTTTCGGCAATTTTATTAACAATTGAACAACACAACACGAAGCTAGTTCGAATTCTTTTTCACTTATTTTTTACTACCCGAAATAGCGTTACATCACACAAACTTCGTACCTGAGTGTTTTATAGTCACAATAACTGCACTAGCAAAAAATTAAAATAGATAAAATATAATGACAAAACCACGATTTCAATATTATTTTAATGCGATCAACATGACAGCGGCGTAAAATAGGCACTGATAATTTTTGATTTCTGCCGTTGAACTTAAAAAAGTGTCTAAGACTTAAAACAGATGATCTGTTTCTTCGAAAACATCAATGTAAAACATCGTTAGAAAAATATTGATACAATGATCTTCTTTTTTTTCAGAAGACACAATATGGCACCACCTGGTATTGGTAGTTCGACTGAAAGACACCTAGATATCCACAATACACGTAATTCTCAGAATATCATCGTTCTCGATGGGGGATTTGCCACTCAACTCAGCTGTTACGTCGACGAGCCAATCGATGGTGACGTTTTGTGGAGCGCTAGGTTTCTATCCACTAATCCTGAGGCTGTTATAGATTCACATTTAGATTTTTTAAGAGGTAAAAAATATCTAACCTAGATGGTTTATACCCAACTAGCAAATAGTTCCCAGTCCTTTTTAAAATGTCACTGCCCCTAAAGCATCCCTAAAGTATAGTTCCTAGGCCCACTCTGCCATTATAAGGAATAGTCACTTTGAAGTATATTTCGAGAGTAATCGGTTAGTGCCTACCTACCATAAAAGTGGAAAATAAACACCCCGATTGCAAGTCGCAAACATGTAATTTAAAGAAGTGGCTGGAACTACCCGAATCTTCGAATATGACACCATAAAAGACCAAAAACTTTATAGTAAGTTTTCAAAGTAGGGGTTACTAACAAGTGCTACCATAATGCCTACATTAAGTTTTTGTTACTTTATAGTAACAATTTAAGTTACGGGGTAGTCGCGGCCACGACACCTAGTTACTTCTAATTTATAGTAGCATTGAAAGTAGCAAAATGGTTACTACTACCTTCCTAGGTTACTGTAAAGTAGCCGTCGCTCATCCATTGCCACTAAAAAGTCACGGGGATCAAAACCGGCTACTTTATAGTGACCGTAACTTAATATACCCTAATAAATATAATTGCCTCAGATTGCATCGTGTGCTACTCTGTTTTAGTGTTTTCTTTTACTTGCTTTTAAGCTTTATTAAAATTTTGAAAAATCCCTAAGGTTAGAATTAAACAAAAGGAATCACTGCGAGCCGATGCATCAACATCAGAAACAAAAACTACATCTTTCTATAATCCTTATTTTTACTTAAGTTAAAATACTCTATACCTCATGTAGCTCTGAATAATATAAATAAATAAAAGCCTTTATTGTCAAAAAAATTTACAATTTGTAGATAAAGGTAAAGTAAACAAAGTAAACAAACAAGCAAACAAGGTACACAAACAAACAAACAAAAGATAATACAAAACATTATACAAATAATAAAGAAGTGGAACTATAATATAGAAACACTAATAGTAGAAAATGCACAATAACTAAAAAATAACTTCAAATGACAAGGCGGAACGTTATAATGGTACCAATGGAATGTACAGTCGCCACTGCCACGATCAGTGTAGCATAACGCTCCAATAAGTGGCAATTTGGTGGCGCAGGGAACTTTCTTGGAAAAAATCACTTTATGGTTCCAAAGAATCGTTGACCATGTAGTTCCAAAAAAGTTATTGTTTCTATAAAGTCGCCTTTGGGTAGCTACAATTGTCACTTTATCAATCCGAAGATTTTAAAGGTCCAAACGGGAAGGGTTGGTCTAATATGTTATTGTTCCCGGTACTTTGTGGACGCATATGGAACTATAAAGTATTACTCGGATTAAACGGCCATATTTTTTTCATGAATTTTTAGACGAACAGCCAAATGGTTCAAACATTATGCGTTTTTGAGCTAAATATACCTAGATTAAAGCTTTTTTCCTTAGTTATTTTGTTGGTGGACTAATATTTTAAAGTTTGACCCCGGTTTCAAGCAAATTATTATTATTTTTTAATTACAACCATGAGTTTCGATTGCAAATAATATAATAATTTGAAATATTTTGAGAGGCGCTCGAAAATTTTGTTATATAAACCCACTATTTTATTCGGTAAAGTTGATTGCGTTCTGGAATTTACCTAAAAAAGGCGTTAAAATCGCACGGTAAATAACAAATAACGAAAAAATAATAATGGCTTCCATAATTATTTTTCATCATGACATTTATTTTTATGAAATGTGAAATTGCATGAAGGAGTCGCTGCGAATAAAGTTCAACAGTTTAACGAAAGTTCCACATGTCGATGGATAACACTTGGCTGCCACAGCCCAGCAACTAGGCAGGTTCGTACCGGATAAGTCGCATTCACCACTTTTTATTGCTATTATATAGAGATTTATTATATTATATAGAGCTACTTTATAGTAACACATCATAGTAACTCTTTTAGTGGCAAAAACTACCCAAGACACTACCCGGCTACTCAAAATCTTTCCCCATTTTGGTCGCAGTTACTTAGCAGCTACGAATATACGACGTAGCCGCCGATGGTCACTGCCCACTTTGTAGTGGCTTTGATAGTAGCAGTTACGTATCTGCCACTATAAATGCTAGTTGGGTAACTAACAAAAAATTATGCATGTGTGTACTATGTGCGCATATTTGAAGTGAAACTTCTTAAGCCCCGTTCTCAGAACGACGTCGTGTCGCTGGCGAAACAGTTTGACATTTCAAACAACCAGTGAGAGCTGTACTAAATTTAAATTTGACAGCTGTTTGAATTTTGTACAAATCGCATTGTCATTTTGACGTGTCGCTGTTCTGAGAACGGGGCTTTACGAACAGCTATTAAATTGAAGGATTTGAAGGACATTTTGTTGTTTTAGTCATTAGTTTGAAATGTTGAAAAAGTAATAAATTAAAAATTAATAAACAATTTGATTCACTTTCAGAAAATTTGTATTAAAATACCAATATTTTTGATAAACACGTGGACTGCTCACAAATACACATCGCGTCACTACCTATTTCTAAGCCGTAGGCTGTGTCTCGCTCGTGTGTCACGACTCACGACCTTGAATTTTTCCGCCCAGCGCCCGTCGTTACCATTTTTTATATTTCGTATTTCGTATTTTTTGTAAATAATACCGTTTAGTGTTAAGCGAGACTGATCTTGGTCTTGCACAAAAACAATAGGACAATAAAAAAAATTATCAGACAAATATTTTTTATTTCTTTAAAATTTAATTTGCACTATAATACTATTATCAAAAGATTTTCTATGTAAAAATAGTAGAGGATCTGGCTGCATGATTATTACGCTCATCATATTTTTAATGAAAACCTATTTTTTACATATGTTTATGAATAGGGGAATACACTTTTAACAGGGTACTAATTAAAAAGCTGCAAATATGATAAATAAAAATAATAATTGATATTGGAGACGACATTACATTCATATTAAACGGGGGTATATTTTTTCACTCAGTACTTTATATACGGGTACGGACGAAAAATTTCAAACTAATAACTCTTCAAAACAGTTCAAAAACATGTAGGTGGTGCCACCTACAAATAGGAGTCATATACATCAAAATCAAATTTCTCATGTCAAAAAATATCCAGACACCAATTTTCATCCAAATATCGATCTTAGTTCAGAAATTATTTGGAGAAAAGCGAAATAAAAATAAAACTTCTACACCCCGTATCTCCGACACTAAGCTTTTTAGGATATACATTTATACGGACTTTTTTACTTATTTTTATCTGTAGAATATGCTGCCGAAGATTCCCAAATACAATTTGGACCACCCTGTATATCTCCCATCGTCAGAAACACAAAAAATGAAGAAAAAAAAACAATTTAAAATGTCTAAATATAACTACCCCCAGAACACTTCAGTTTTTTAGCAGACAAATCTATTAAAAACCGTTTATATAAATAAAATACTAAAAATAAAATTTGGATCTACGAAAAAATCGTCTTAATATTTTTGTAGCAGATTACTTAAGTTGTTTTAGTGGAGGCCCGTTTTCAGTCTATAAATAGATTAGATTTCAATTAATTATATTAATCAGGTTAACAACTTAATATTGCTTTCAGCTGGCGCTGACCTCATTATAACCAACACTTACCAAGCGGACGTCGATCTTTTTGTGAAACACTTGAACGTCACGAAAGAAGAGGCCTACAACTTAATCAAGAAGGCTGTGGAACTAGCTAAAATTGCCGTAGAGAGATATATGCAAGAATTTCCTAATGCCCGTAAGTTTTTTTGTAAATCTAAATCGAAGATGACTTTCTCAAATGTTTTTACTTGAGAACTTTAACTCTACCCTGTGTTATGCAGGTATGCAGAGTTTTCCAGTACTTTGTGGACATAGAACTAAATACGACGAGGGACACAATTTACCTCTATATGTATAAGAGTCCTTCGTTTGTCCGTCAGAGGGCATCACATTTTAATAAACACGTTGAAAACCAGTACTAGTTATATTTTCAAAGAAATTAATTTAAAACTACACATTTTTTTAGGTAGACCTCTTGTAGTGGGTTCTGTAGGTCCCTATGGAGCATCTTTACACGATGGCTCAGAATATACAGGCTCTTACGCTGCCAATACGTCACTGGATGTCATGAGGGAGTGGCATACACCTCGGATAAATGCTCTCTTGGAAGGAGGTGCAGATCTCTTAGCTCTAGAAACCATTCCTTGTCGAGCCGAAGCCGAAATGTTGGTGACGCTACTCAAAGAAAAATACCCCGAGACGAAAGCCTGGTTATCATTTACCGCTGGTGTAAGTTCTTAGTATATTCAGATTGTTTCATAATATTTGGAGGATAAATTTCACTGGTATACAAAAACATTTTTTTTTCTCAAGCTCTGGCATCGTCCCTGCAGATTCTTATATAAAATGGCGCCCTCAATCCCCAAATATAGCTCCCGTTTTATTCTACCACCCACTATTTTCGGGGGAGCCCCCTCTATATGTTAAACATATTTTCCCTTTTCAGTATTTATACCCTTGGTATAACTTTCTCGTCCCAAAAACCAGCAGTACTCCGCATCATGCTTGCACTCATCTTTCCTGGAAATCTCTTCTCCATGTTAGCGATGTCTTAATGGAATCGTGTCTCGTGTTTATCCGAGACTGCTCCTAAATTTTTAGGAAAGAAGACCAGATGCTAGTGAAGGAAATACACATTAAAATATATGTTGTAGAATGTAGAATGTTTAGGAGGGGAGTTAATCACCGCGACCTTACAGATCTATTGTGTGTTTGCCTTTCTTGAGTTATAACGAGTTATACCGAGTTAAGACCTCAGTGCGGAACTCAGAACTCGAATGGCCAGATGCTACGTCTTCTCTGTGTTACTCTATGGATGTGAGAGCTGGACACTAAATTCACAGACCGAAAAGAAAATAGAAAGAAGCCTTCGAAATGTATGTGTACAAACGGATGCTGCGAATCTCATGGGTACAAAGGATCACCAACCATGAAGTACTCCAGCACCTGAAGAAACAAAAAGAGATATTAACACCATCAAGGAAAGAAAAATGCAATATCTGGGTCATGTGATGAGAGGTGATAGATACGAAAGACTGCGCCTCATAATAGAGGGCAAAGTGCAAGGGAAAAGATCAGTAGAGGAAGACGCCACTCATGGCTAAAAGATTTAAGGAGATGGTTTGAACGCTCGTCTGCGGAAATCTTCCGGGCTGTAGTTTCCAGAGCCACAATTGCCATTTGGATCGCCAACCTTCGGCAGGAGAGGGCGTGATAAAAAAAAGAACGAGTTATAACTCATCATACAGTCTCAGGGCTTTAACAAAACCAGATGTCTATCCGTTCTGTAGCTACGGGGCATCCGTAAGGGGGGAAACAAAATTCTCTGTAGCGTGCAATTCATGGGCATGGTTTTTAGATATTTTAAATAACATTACTTACATATACAAACATTTCAAAAATACCAAATCAGTTTTATTTTTGTCAACGTTTGTCCACGTAAATGAGACATAATCTTTATAAAAACTAGAAAGAAAAACAATAAAAAGTTAATAAAGTTGCGGAACTATTTTATCGGACACGACTGCACTGTTCTCCAAGCTCGGTCTACTACCGTTAGTGTTAACATAAAAAAATTGACGATACATCCCGTCAATAAAAATTCGACAAATTTGCAAGTGGCCAATGTAATGAGTAGCAAAGTCCATGTGGCAGAGTCCGCGTGTGTATTGGTAGCGATCTATAAAATATATTGCTGTATGTTTAAATTTGTTTCGTAGTAAATTGATCATACTCCAGTATTGTGGCTGCATGCTTGAAATTCCTTTCGTAGACACAGATCCAGTAGACGTACCTATACCCTGCAGGCAAGTAAAATCTTGGGTCGGTGTTTACATGTATAGGAGTGAATCGCTATGGATGGCAATCTAGTAACTCGGAGGGAGCAAAAATACGAAGTATTTATTACATAATTACTTAATCTGACGCTAAATTCCATACGCTTGGGAAAATACTTGCCTTCTGTCTTTATTCAGTACATTTTATTTTACTAAGCGTGTTTACCGTACTCTTCGTACACACGAAAACCGGCACACAAGACCAGAAATGCCAGCCCTAGTATAGGCTAGCGATCTATAATCACTCTATAATATATATTACTGTTTATTTAAATATGTTTTGTAGTAAACTGATTATCCACCAATACTGTGTCTGCATTCTTGAAATTATAGACACAGATCCAGTAGATGTAGGTACCTATATTACATTTTCCTTTTTCTCCCAATGTAAGACATCGTGTGGATCGGTGGTAAAATCGCTTTTATCTTTATCGAATATAAAGAACTTTTATTTTCTAGTTCACAGTCTGTGATAAACTATCTAAATATGTCATTTTGCAGCAAGATGGTAAAACCACGGCATATGGCGAACCTTTTCAAGAGGCAGCAAGAGCTTGTTATGACATATGTCCCGACCAATTAGTAGCGATCGGTGTTAATTGTATAGCACCTAGACTAGTTGAATCTCTGATCTCTGGAATTAACGATAAGAGAGCCAATCCTATACCTCTCATTGTTTATCCAAACAGTGGTGAAAGTTACAATGTAGAATTGGGGTAAGTTATCAAAATTTTGTATGGGACATTTAATTACATACAGTATATACAAAACTGTGTCTGCGATTCTTTGACATATTTACGGTAATTTATTTTGGGTAATACAAGTTTTGTATATACTGTAATTAACTGGAATTGGAATCATTCAGCTTAAAGTTTGGGAATGACAACAACACACTCTTAATGCTTTCATAAACATATTTACACATGCTCTACTGACTATAGACTACTGTCTACTAAAATCTGTCCAACGAGACGATACATTTGGACAGTGACAGATATTGTTTGTCAATTTAATCCACATGTAAATTGTAGTTTCTTTCAATTTTTAAATGTTGTCTGTCGTTATCTTGCCTGACTCGTTGGACAGACTACTGATAATCCAAATATCTGCCTTCTTCATGTAAAATTCCACTGTGTGAATATTTATACTTTAATATTTATATTGTAATCGCAAAACATTTTCCGATGCACGTCATCAATCATATCGACATTGACACTAAAGTCTATAAACCTGACTAAAAAAATTGAAATTTTGGCAAAAATGTTTAAATTTGTTGTATAATTTAAGATACCGAGCTAATGATTGTAACAGATAGTTTATTTAGATTAAAGCTACAAAAAATAGTTTAAAGCGATTTTTATTATTGCCATGTTGGTCACATTGCGCCGCTATCAGCATCGTTATCGTTTATTATCTGACAATTATCCTAATGACAGTCATTATTTAGTAAAATATCGTGTTGATGTTGAATCTTTGAGAGTAATTCTCATTGTTTGCCGATTTTCATAGTATTTTTTAAAAAATTGTACTTTTAAGCACAAAGAGTTCTTTTAAGAACTTAATTTTCGAGTTTTTGTATTATATTTCTTGAAATTGTATGTTGAAAATATGCCGAAGCATTTAAACAATCGAAGCAAAGAGCTTGTAGCTTTCCTGATAAACTATTTTGAACGAGAACGTCACAATAAAGATCCTTTATTACCCTTGACTGCAGTCAGAGTAGTAAGATTGATTGATAAGCACATTATACCACTCTCAAAATTATTTCTACGTTAGTTTTTATTAAATTCTGAGATTATTAGTTTGTGCCCTCTTACTTATTTATTACCGCTTATTATGGCGTTGTAAGATGTACACCAATAAATAAATAAACCATAATAACACTTAGAATAATCTTCATAATGGACTAGTTTTTGCCAATATGTAATAAGTAAAATAAGCTATAAAACAAATAAATCAATTAATTACTAAACTATTAGTTATTAAATTAAAAATAAACTGTAAAAATCTTTAAAAAATGATATAATAAATATATTGTTAATATGTAATTAATATTATCAATTATTAATTAATATTGTCAATTTTAAATTAAGATTAATCTCATAAATCCATCACAATCTGGCAGCGCTGTCGCCATCGCTTGTCACTCAAAGTTGATCACGCGCATCGGAAATTGTTTTGCGATCACCATATTTAATATTATTCTTCGTTAATCTTACATAATTTTATTTATTTTTCTGTTTTTACACCTGTAAGTAATATGTATTTTAGATTAAAAAGAACAGATATTTTGATTTTTAATGTTTTGGAAATTGTTTGGGGGGGGGGGGGAGCCTACATAAATATGTTTATAAAATTTGAATTGCTCATTATAATACGTTTGTCTTACCATGCAGTTTGGCAGTGGTGTACTATGTATGTTGCCAAATTAATGTTGTGTGTCTTAATGTCTGGCAAAACAGTATTTTTCGTATACTGATCTCCCGCGTGAGATACAAGTTATTTCAACAAGTTTGTTCAACAATTTTTTATACGATCGAAAAACAAAACGACGTCAAAGATGGCTTGTTAATGAAGATCGCTGTCATTTTAAATGTTATACAAATGTTGTCCGATCGTCATTTCAAAGCCAACTTGACACTGCTTTATTTTCGATATAATTCGGTATCAACCTTTTGGAAAGTTTTATTACAAAACATATTGTGCGCATCCAGGGGACACAGCGGCTGACTGACAACTGAGGCTTTTGCTCAGCGGCTGACCGTTTTTGTGTGTAAAAATAGGCCGTTTAGGGAAGTCGCTTACTCAGCTACTCAGCCGACCATCCCTAAACACGCCCATTTACTTATATCGACATATATATCCAGTATAGCTTCTTTATATTTATTTATACTTTTGATGAATGAAACTGTTTTAAAAACTGTGCTATGCCTCTGTGTATTAAATAATTCTTTTTAACTTTAATACCTATACTATATAATACAGCTTGCTTATTTAATGTTGTGCTTTTGATGAAGGTTTGGCATATATGTCGGCATCTATATATTTGGCATATATGTTGCATGTCATGCTTGAAATACTATTCTCAGTTCAACTAATTCTTTTGTAGATGACCATTTCAATGCAGAAAAAAATTAACCACCTTTTTCAAACCACAGAAATTCTTGTAAACAAAAAAAATGTGATATCGAATTTGACAATGACAATCATATTTTTGCTGGTATTTTAATTGTCGTTTTCTCTGGGCCGTATTATAAATTTTTAGTAATTTGAAGGTACATTTTTGCACATAACTTTTAGATACTTATTCCAAATAAAACGAAATTCTAGACGACAATACAACTTTAACGCCTCTTCAAAAAAGTCTAATACAATTTTTGCATAAAATTATCTGGGGAGATTTGACCTTTTCAAAATTTACATGGAATTTCTCCTGCGTTCCGATAGACCATACGGTATAAACGTGCAAATATACAAAATTAACCAAAATAAATCTTAAGTTATTCAACGCATCGGATGAGGGGTTTCGCGTTGACACTGCACTCACTGCAGTATAAATAGTCGTCACAGATGTTGACTTTGTTGATTGAACGAGAATGAGACTCTCAGTACAATAACTGTACTGAGACGTGACTGACATACCAACGTGAATAGACCTTAATAAAGTAAGTCACAAATTAATTTTACAAATTAGTTACAAATGCCAATGAGTTATACCAATGTCAGAAAAGTTCCAGTATCAGGATTTGATTTTACTACGACTGCAGTGGACAAACCTACACAAGACAAGGTCAATATTTTTATTACTCTAAACCGCGACATATCTAACAGCTTCATTGTTCCCACCGCTTATTCACTCATCAATCATCCACTAACAATCGCAATCTGTTTTCTCCATTATTAAGTGATGATACGGCGTCATATAGATGGATCAATCGGGACAAATGCGAGCCAGTCGAATGCTACGTTGCCAAATGGTTGGACCTAGGAGTGACGTTTGTCGGAGGTTGTTGTAGGACCTACGCCATCGACGTAACCAGAATAAAGAGAGAAGTGGAAAAATGGAAACAAGATCATCGATTTTAAACCTGCTTCTGATTTCCTTCTTCGATATGACTTTATTGTGTACCTGTGTTGCGGAAAACATAAATATATATCAAAAATTAAATGTGCGACGCAACAGCTTTGACCAAAGCGATACAAGTACTGGGCAGAACAAGCTGAGTGATAGCACAGCTTATTTACTAGTCAGCTGATCATCTTTGCTAGTCTTTGAGTACCTGCCTCTTCACCTGCCGCGCCTATTCTCTTTCATATAGGCTTGGTGTAATCACGACCCTAACACGACAAATACACGACCCTAACTAACGAGTACGAGTACACGAGTTTTTTTTTATTTTATTTGAAAAGAATTAGTAACTGCTATTTAGGAGAATTCTTTAAAAAAAAGGTAAATCTTTTGATATCAAGCTAATATAACTTTTTAGATGAGTAATTACACACCGGCTACTCCAACTATGGTAAGCGAGTATAGTTTTGTGTAGATTTACGCACCAGTTTTGCTAATTGGGATATAACTGGGGCTATCTGAACTGTAACCATTTTTTTAAAGGTACTTAAGACCCATTTAAAGATTAAAAAGACGTATACTATTAATATTGGTTAAATTATATTTTATCCTCATAGTACAGCTATTTTCGTCGCGTATTAATTTTTACTACCCGAAACAGCTTTACACCACACATACTTCGTGCCCAAGATTTTTTTAGTTTCAATAACTGCACTAGTAAAAATCAAAATACTCCAATATTATTACATAGCCACGATTTCGATATTATTTGAATGCGATAAACTTGAACGGTAACCGAGACGGCGCGAAATAAACTTAGTCGGACAGTTCTGATTTCTGCCGTTCCGAGCGCTGCTGTCAGAAATTTCAAAATCGGTTGAAATGCACCAAGCCTATACAGGATACAGGCAGTCGATGCGGCAGTCTCGATAGTATATATATGAATGGAGCTTCAGTGGAGCTCGGAATCCGACTTGTTAACATAAAAGAAGCGAATATCTAGATAGGTATGCAGCTTTCCATGTAAATGATCCTAAGTCGACTGGCTGTCTAATGAATAGGCTGTAGTGATCGTATATAAGATCAAACATGTCAAAAATTACCTGATTTTTTTAATTATATAGTTTCGTCTAGAATTTTAATTTACCATTATCCATATAGCCCTATTCATTTTATTTAAGTTTAACAAGTATGCTTTTATATTTAAATTGAGATGTTCCACTCTAAGAATATTTAAAATGTTCTAGAAATGTATATGTTGATCTTAAAGAGTATCTATAACTTTTCTGAAAATTATATGTGCCAGAAGATGAAGTATAATCTTCTATAAATGTATTGTGTTCAAACTATATATTGATTATTAATAAGAAATACAATATTCAAAGTCCGAACACTGACAAAAACTAAACAGATCTTATAAAAGGTACTGAATATGAAAGAAAATAAGCATAATCTGACCTGAGAGAGAATATATGATTTCGACAGGGGACAACAAAATATATTATAACAAATAATTTAGTTTTGGAGCTAAAATAACAGGGAACAACTGTCACTGTAATAGATTCTTTCTTAGGACAGACTATAGATGAATTTTATTTTTTTAAATAGTCAGTGATATAATATACCGGGTGCGTCTCAAAAATGGTTCACCCCTATTTATTTTTTTTAGATAAAACAACGAGATTTGGTATGTTAGTATATGACATAAATTAGGATTGATTGGCATATTCAATTGTTTTCAGTCACTCCCGATTTCACCGCAAATGACTACAACTTTTGATTTTTAAATGACACCCTCGGTATTTTTTTACTTTATTCGATAGAAAATGCCACTCTTAATCGAATAACTAAATTCCTCCGCAAATGACTACAACTTTTGATTTTTAAATGGCACCCTCGGTATTTTTTTACTTTATTCGATAGAAAATGCCACTCTGAATCGAATGGCATATCATATGTCAACTTTTGACATATTCGCTCAAAAAATTGTATTTTAAATTTCAATCTAGAGTGCCATGGCTGTGTTAAAAACACTAACTTTTAATCAAGGAGCCTTGGAAAAATAGATTTGATTGTCTAATGTTTTTAGTGTCTTGCCCTGGCCGGCTAAAAGATGCCCAAATCGTATTTTTATTCATATCTCAATTTTTTCAAATGGAACGAGGGTGGCTCATTAGCATATTTGGAAAAAGAATTTTTTACGAATAATTTGATACCACACACTTGGCATTTCGAGTCAAATTTTTGTTATAAACCGCATGTTACAATTTCAAATAAACCATATGCGAAAATGTCAAAAGTTGACATATGATATGTCATTCTATTCAGACTGTCATTTTCTATCGAATAAAGTAAAAAAATACCGAGGGTGCCATTTAAAAATTAAAAGTTGTCATCCAATCCTAAGTTATGTCATATACTAACATACCAAATCTCGTTGTTCTATCTGTAAAAATAAAAAAGTTATAGGGGTGAGCCACTTTTGAGACTCACCCGGTATAGTCATACCTGCCTTTTCAATTGTTCTACTTTAAAGCGTAAAAATGTTATACATAGGTATATTAAAAGGTGTTTTATAAAGCTTTTTACTTTTATAACGAAATGACTATGTACCTGGGAAGCTTCTGATGATATCTAGGTGCCTTAAAAGTTTTCTTTAATAATTATATACTACAATATATATATTTTGTGTTATTTTTAAACATAACAAACCCTCAATTTTTGTATACACGATATACAATACACCAAATATCTTTTAAGCATTATTAAGTTTATATAATTTGTTAAATAAATTTCTTAAAAAAGAAATATGTGTTTTATTTGCTACAATATTAAATAAGTTTGGGAAGTAGCAAACCACATATACAGGGTGTCTCAGGCTGAGCGTTCATTATAGAAGCGTCTAGAGAACTACAATATCTAGATCGGGGATTTTTTGCACATTATTGTTTCACAACAAGATCTATCGATTAAAAATATTTTCAATATGGCGGCACTCCCAGAAATACCGGAAGTTGACGACAACTTTCTTATATTAAATGGTGTTTTTATTTACATTTTTTATTACATACTTAAATTCAATGGAAAATTTTATGAATTTTGATGTCACACATTTTATACCTAACATTAATCGTTTTTGAGAAAAAAAAATATTTAAAAATTTTGCGCCGCCATATGCCATATTGAAAATATTTTTAATCAATAGATCTCGTTGTGAAACAATGATGTGCAAAAAATCCCCGATCTAGATATTGTACTTCTCTACAAACTTCTAATGCACGCTCTGCCTGGGACACCCTGTATATTGAATAAATACAAAATATGTTAGAAAAGTGTTGATTGTGTATTAATTATTATTGTGAATTAAACATATTTGTTTATTAATAATAACTAACACTTTTTACATATGTCTGTAAAAACCCTAACTCTACATATCTTACAGAGACAATAGAAAAAATGTGCTAAAAAGATAATGAAAAATATTGAAATAATTATTGGTATAACAGTAACAATTAAAAAATATTGTATGAAATTATAATACGCAAATAGGTATTAATTTAAATACATTATTATTATACGTACTTACACACAGAGTATAGTACCGTACATGTACCGTATGATCGAGAAAAACGGCGTCAGCGATGGCTATGAAAAAGATCTCTGTCAATTTATATGGGAAATGTCATCGATCCTCATTTCCCAGCCAACTGGACGCCGTTTTTTCCGCCTAGTTTTTTTCGATCATACAGTATTTATCTAAATATAATTTAAACATAAAATTTGGTTTAAAAACAAGTAATATGCTAAAATGTAGCTAGGTAACGTCATATGACAAGCATTGAGAAAAACTTGGAATATCTAACAATCTAACCCTATAGACAGAACATTAAAAAAATATATTGACCTATATTTTAGACCATTTAATTTAATAGATAAAACATTTGGATCCAAGTTATTAATTACCATTTTTACTACATATTATAAACTTTTAAATATTTCAGTTGGCAAAAAGAAGACAATATTGAAAAGATTGAAGATTATGTAAAAAAATGGATAGATCTTGGCATAGGTGGCATAGGAGGATGTTGCAAAACAACTGCAGATGTTATAAAGAAAATTCGTGCAGAGGTGGAAAAATACAAGAAAAATTAGTTTTGTATTAAAACTTGTGCATTGTTTTTTCTTCATTATTTATTAGGTTGGGAGTTACTTGTCTCCATAGAGTATAAAAAGCAATTTATTTCATAAAATTGAGACAAGAATTAGTAAAAGTCTTGTGTAGAGAGATTATTTTAGTATTATTATTAATTTGTATTTCAGAAAAATAGAATAAAATAAAAATAAACAAAATTGTTTATGTGTATAATAATGTTCATTTATAACTGATAACATGTACTCATACATTTTGATGAGCACTTTATAATTTTATTCAATTTTTTTAGTAAATTTAAATATGCAGCACTTGACAAATATAGTAAATCTTCACTTTTCTATATTTTTTAATAATTTTTGCTAATGACACAGCTGAATCTTACCAAATACTATATTTTCTGTGTTTTATTACGTTCATGCTAGCCATTATACCAGTTTTTTGACTATATTTGTTAAGATGTATCTGTCATTTTAATTCATAGGAAATTATATTTTCTGTAGTTTATTTGATGTCTTCTGTCAAAATCTTTCCTTAGACTTGGAAATTGATGAACTGAATCCAGCACCTCCATATATCCAAAAATAAATCAGACTAAGCTTGGTTTAATTTTTTTTTTTTTAGCTAATTGGTCCACTGTAAATGATAAAGATAAATCATGCATGACAAAATCAAGTCTAAATAATATAGTTATATTAAATAAGTTTTAGTCAAATAAAGTTTTTGTCGAGAAAGAAATGACACAGTATTTAAGCTGAAAAATATATTTACACGGTAAATAGGTACATATTTTTTGTTTCTTATATTTTAGGGTACAAGAGGTGCAGATGCACTATTTTGTTAAAAACCTTTACTTGCTAAATTTTCCACATAATTATTAATACTGTCTATACAATGCTGTTATTGACTATTTCAATTATTTCCCGCCCTGTTTGTGCTTTCACTACACATTTGATATTCTAACATCCGAAATATTAATTCTTTATACATTTCAGTCAACTGTCAGGTAGATTGAGACTGAATTTGAGGCACGTTCATTGCTGTATTGGACAGACTAGCCCCGGACTGTAGTTGTGTTTGAGTCTGCAATCGCTGCGGCTGAGCTGTACGTCCTAAAAAAGTTTCTAATATAATATTACAATTTCAATAAACAAGGTCACATGCCTTGTAGATGTTTAAACTTAATTTTTTCTAGTTCGTTTACTCTCGACCTGGCATGCTCTAATCTATGCCAAGCCATTTGCAGCACTTTTTGAGATGCGTATCCAGAACCTTCATGTGGCTGTCCTGTAGAAACTTGAGTCAAGTAATTAATTTGATCGGTTAACTTGTTTTCTACTGATCCTAATGTTTTGAGGAACGTTTGAGTATGATTTTCTGCCTGTTTTAAACTAGATTTTTCCTTACTTAGCTCAGAGAACACTTGTCCTAATGGAGTAAAGGGGTTAGATTGTTTTTAAATTAAAAATATAAGAATTTTTACCTGCGCTATTTAAACAGGTAATTATGTCTTTTTCTATAGAGTCTAAAACTTGAATTCTTTCCATAGGAGCAGTCATCTTTAACTATTATTTAAATTGTTTTAAAAATCATGAAAAATATGCAAAACAAGCCTATTCAAAATTGTTTTGACATTAATAACCATTGAACAATTCTTTTTTTCGAAAATATCTGTGGACATAGAATAATATCATTCACTTCTAATTGCTAATCTGTGGTAAATTTAAATTGGTAAAAAGTCAACATTTTAAAAAGAAGAATTTTCATATATGATTTTTATAATATAAAAATTTTCTAAAATTAGATTTTTGTAGCAACAAAATAATCAATTTATGATAGAATAGTAATTTTTTAGACCGTATATAAACTTAATTAGAATTACCGTAGTATCTGTACGTATTTATTTATTTAAATATAAACAACCATACAAAATTATATATGATATAAATATCCAATATGTCTTGGCATATTTCATTTGTCCATCACGAACTCATCAACGACAAACGTAAATTGTCAATCAGCTGGTAAGATTATTGTTATGACTTTTATTAGAATTATTTTATCTAAAAATGTTTAATTATATCTTCTAAAAATTGATATTGCAATTGCTTAAGATATATAATATTTGGAGTAGTTTTTGGAATTCGTGTTTACTAATAGTTAGAAATTTGTTTATAAACCAGAATAATTTCAGGTACCTTTGATTAATTTTTAAGTTATTAAGATATAGGTATATTTATTTTTATTTTAATAAGTTTTTATGTTGTAATTTGATAAATTTAGCAACAGGTTTGACATTTTATAATCTTTTACTTATATATGATGTCTAATAGGAATAACTAAAAAATATTTTATAACTACAAACACATAAGAGCTTTATAACTTTTAGTATAAATTACTTTGTTGGGATGATAGCTAAAACACTTTCTAACATAAATATTAATGGTTCATGTTGTGTTACCATATTTATAATTTCCTGTAAATCCAAATGAGCTCAGAATATTTCTGGCACTTTTCCAATTTTATCTAAAAACCTTTACCATATGCCAAGAATGTGTCGGCATTTTGAAATTATTTTTCGCTGTCCAATGACGGTCGTTTTACGCACTGCTATAAGCTGGTTTTTGCTGTGGCTTTTTTTCGTGTAAAAAGTGCCTTTTTTGGTGGTGATTTTCTTCATTAATTAAAGTCAAGTTGTACTTTAAGGTGTTGTCGTAAGTGTTGATGGCAGAACATGGCTGGGGAACCATTAGTTGTACAAGCATTATACACGTTTAAAGGAAGCAACAATGATGAAGTAAGTAATTTTTGCTTTCTTTTTTTATAGATTTTCTTAACTTATAATCTTTCTTTCTTATAATAAGGTAATTAAGTAAAACAATAAACCGACTAATTTTGGTTATTCTTAGAGTAAATTAATACTATATGCATTATCATAATAGTTTGACTATATTCCCACATTTTATCAACTAATAAGTAAACATATCAGATAAATAATTATATTTAGATATTAAAAAAACTTACTTTATACATTTAAAGTTTACTCTAATTTTAGAAAGAGTAAAAGATGTTCTTGGCTATTTTAATATTTTTTAATTTACAAAAAAATGTTATTGAACTTTCAAAATTGTAGTAATTTTTTTAGTACAACTAGTGAAATACCAAAAAAAAGAAAAACCTATTATACTTTTATTTTATTTAAAACATTAGTGATACTATTATTTTCAGGAACTGTTTTACTGATAATATATCACAACAGCAATTTTTACTAGTCATATTTAATATTAATACACTTTTTTTAGTAAATAAAAATCTATATGTGCTTTTAAAATTTTCACTTTTTTATAAGTATAAGGTCAGCAGAGAGAAGCTAGTATGTATATATGTATATATTAAAACACTTAGAATAGAATAGAATCTTGTACTAGCACTAAAACCATATACATACATCCATAATTACTTAATACATGTATATACAATATAACTTCAGTAGTCTAGGCAGATATCGTTCCGGAAGAGGCCCGGATTATCGAGGCGTTAGGATTACTGGAGCTACTTAAATTTATTTCTTTAGAAAATGAAAACAACTAAAACATTATAGTTGCGGGTTGGAACCTTTGGTGTTACACAGCAAAATAAAAACACTAAATCACCACAATACACCAAAACACTTTTACTTTTACACTGGACGCGCGTTTCGCTAACCATGTTAGCATCATCAGCAGATGATTATAAAACTCGAGTTTTATAATCGAAAACAAAATAATATAATTTTATTTTTTTTTTTAACTAAAACATTGTCGAAAATAACGTTTAATAATCAAAATTAATCTGATTTCTTGCTACATTGTAGCAAGGCGTAATCATTAATCTGCCTTTTGATTATTCAACATGGAGTTAATTTGATATCTTAATGAACTCATCTGCATTGGTCTTTTTGTTTCTGTGAAATACTACCGATTTTCGAATTATAATCTGCTCCGCAATTTGACGAGGTTTTTTTTCCTGAATCAAGATAATCTAATATTTTAAACGATTATTTGTTTTTATATATTTTTCAAAAATAAACAAAGACTATTCCTAAGTCGTGTATAGTTTATCCTAAGTTGTGTATATTTTTTCCATATTTAATTTTTTAAACCAGCCATCTTACAGAATCGTCAATGTTTTTTTTTATAGTATGTAAATCAGATTGTACTTCTTGCTCTCACATACAGATTACAATAAGTAATATAAATATGTACCAAGGCGCGAGGGTCACAAGGGTAACAAAAAGGCAGATAAGATGGCTAAACAAGGCTGATCCAATACCTATTTGTAGGCCCAGAACCCTTCTGCGGCATTGAAAAACAGTCACAATAGTGGCCTGAAAACGGTGGCCAAGAAATCTTTAGAATGGGTGAAAATTTCACAAGGGCAGAGATAGGCGAAAAAATGTATAGTAATACATTCGCCAAAATTTACGTTCTTAAGCAAAGGCAAAAAGACAGTCAAAGCTGTAGTGGGTCTACTAACAAGACATTGTAAGCTTAATGTAAAGCATCTAAAGTTGATGGGATTGACGGTCAAATCCATGTGCTGATATTGTCAATATTGACAATGATTCATATGAAAAACGATAGAACATATTTTATGTCGGTACGACAGCCGGACAAATCTGCGGTTCTTTGTACTATGATAGGTCATTGACAAAGAGCTATATGGAGAGTCCAGTCTCCAAGTTGCTAGACTTTTTGAAAAGGACAGGACTGGAGAATGTAAGCTAACGATCAGAAGACGACCCTAATAGATCTGAAAAGGTCGCAGTGGAACAGGCCGATAGCCAGCTGAAAAATATAAATAAGTAATGCTGACATATAACAATTAAACCTAAAAATGTATTGTAATTCAAAAGGACCTGTTAGCAGCTGGTAAGGCTAGGGTCAAGTTAACAGCTATTAATGTCGGGCATAACTGGCTAACTACTGTTAAACTATATCTCACTTTACCAGCTGCTGACATTCTTCAAATATATAATTGGAGCATTTCTTCATACCGCAAGATTATGTAACAAACTATTTTAGAAGTTTATTTTTAACTTTGAAAAATGTTTATCTTACAAAACGCGCTTAAGAGAAAAAATACTGAACGTACATACATAAGGCAATTACTGTTGAAGCTTGAATCTTCAGACCGAGAAATGTTTATCCAAGAAATCTGTCGCCGGATGAAATCGATAAATCACTTTAATATTTTCAGTAAATTATTTTTGAGCCTGAGATCCTTTATTAATAGAATATTTTAATTTATATTCAAAACGAACCTTGAGAATAGCGAAAGTAGGAATTTCAAGAAAATTAAAGTTTTTGCATCGTGATATTCAATGATAGATGCAAAAAAATAACGAGGGATTTGTTCCAAAAGTGCATGAGTCCTTCATTTACACGGAGGTTACGTTCCAGGAAAATATGTATATACCGTTCTGGTCATCGAAACTGCGTGGCCTGGATTTTAACGTTTAAGACAATTATGTAGACAGCTTAATAAAAAATCGAATGCATTAAAAACAGATAAAAGTTGGGTTGATACATTTTTTCTATGCGGTATTGCCGGATTTTGCATCAAAATTTTAAACCGCACAAATAGGCATTTATGAAAAATGTTGCATCTAGGGTTGAAACTTTATGTTTCACAATAATTAGTTATTCATTTTTCTAGAGCTGTAATAGATTATATTCAGCTTAGACATATTATCTTCATTTCAGTAATATGCTTGAAAGTTTTTAAAATAGTTTATTTTTTCTACATACATTTTCTTACAAACGTAAAAAACCGGCAACACTGTATGCCGCTTTTTATTTTGTTTCTCTGTCTGTCAACCGATCATTTATATTTATCTATCTGGAAAGTATTAAAATACAGACCACGCAGATTAAGTGACCGGGGCTAGTATAGTATAGTATCGTTGATTAAAAGAATTGGGAAGATACGCAACCTAATGGGCAAATTCGTGACAAGGCTCATTTGATTTCCCCTTACGTCTCAAGTGCTTTACGGTGGAGCTCTATTCGTTCTGCGGCTAAACACTAATTTTCTCTAATTCGGCTAGCGAAGGCATATCTAAGACCGTGTTGAACTGAAAGCGACAGTGTTGCCATATTAAAATGTGTAATATCTGTAATATGTTTAACGAAAATATCTTTCGATGAAAAATCCGCCTTTATGTATTGATCATTTATTCGTGTTAAACATAAAATAAACAACAAAAATAAAAATTCTTTTATAGGTACTGAATATTTTGAATGTTCGAAAAAAGTCGTTTAGTTAACTTGGAAATGACGATTATTGACATTTACCATAATAGTTTACATATGAAATAACAGCGATCTTCATTTCCAAGCTAACTCTAACGCCGTTCTATGTTTAATCACATAATATTATATTAAATTGTTTAATGATAGAAAATCCGTATTATTAACGTACTGTACCTAAAATTCGTAGTTCTGGCAACACTGTCTCCGGCAACCACCCACTATATCGACTGAAAGCAGAACTACGGTACAGTATTCTTTATCTGCTGCGCATCAGCGCGCAGCGGCGCAGAGCTAAACTAAATATCGGACAGGTTGACTAACGGCGACGGTATCGCCAGCTACATCTCGGACAGGTTTTGTGCCACGAAATCATCCATATTGTTGCGCATCTTCTTATTTCTTCAATCAACGATAGTATAGTAAATACATAAATTCATATTATGAAGAACATTTCTACAAATTATTTCAAACAAAATTCTATAACCAGTTCTTAGTAAACGTCTAACGTGCCATGGCCGTGAATCACCCTGTATAATTTATATAAAATACTAAATATCTCAAAATATATTCGGAATTATAAATACAAAAATACGTCGGTAGTATTTCCATCAATTTATTTAAAAATTCTTTTCAGATTTTTATATAAAAAATGACATCCTGGAACTATAACAAAGAATATAAATAGAAAATATAAACGCTTATTTTACTCTTTCTTGTTTATTTATGCGCGTTTGATTTCTACCACGGAATAACGAGAAAAATAGCAAAATTTCAGAGAAAACTACTACAACTCAATTGAAGGACATTTATTCGGGACTAATATTCGTCACAGATTTTGTAATATTGTGATTTTATGTTACTCTCTATAACCAAATAACTTTGTAGAGAAAAAATTACTTCAAAAAAATGTATATGAAAACCTATGAAAACCCCCCTCCGAATTTCTAACAAGCACCTAGTGAATATTTTTGCGCTTATTCTTATTAAGTTTTTTACAGTAGATTCGAATCCAAAAAACTTGTTCTGACGCAATTCTATAATTAAAAAATAATTAGTGTACCTTAGGGGACTCATAAATAATAACACTCGTAATCAAACACGCATGCCGCAAAATATTCATTAACTTGTTTACAATCAGTTTATTTATGGCAACAACAAAAACGATTTAAAGCGAATGTAATATTTTACATACTTACATTGGCTTGGAAACTAGAAAATCTAGAACCTATAAATTCTGGGAAAAAACTGTCATATTATTTCAGATTGAATGACTAATTTAGATTGTAGCGGATGATCTTATCTGGAACACAATTTTCTCGTAGATTTTAGTTGTATCTGTGTATAAATTTTCACGATGTTATTGATGAGAGTTTTATACAAGAAAAATATCTCGCGTATATTTTGGACACTTTGTATAATACTAGGCTATATAAATGAAGCTACTATTTAAAATACGAAAAATTTCTTCAAAAAAGAAGAAGAAAACGATAAAAAGTGAAAAACA